ATATATGTATCAGAGTTCAAGAAAATACAGAGATAGAGGGATTATAATTCTTCCTCTTCTAACCGTTTTTCAGCTTCTTCAGCCTTCTTTAGCGCTTCATTGACTCTAGCTCTGATGGTAGTCAGGTTCCTTGGATTCTGATACTCAAACCAGTGTGGTTCAAGTCTGCAGTCCAAGTAGTTTCTGATTGCTTCTGAGATGTCCTTGCCAGGGATCACTCTCATTCTCCACCACTCTTCAGCTTCTTGGACTGAACCACCATGTTTGATTATGATCAGTCCATCCTTATCTTGAATAAGATTTTCTTTCTGTAGGGGAGTCATGTGCTTTTTCATTTCAGCAAACTGAACTGAGTCAGGTTTAGATAACCCACTGTTCAGCCACTGATTGAGAGTGAGAGTTGATGGTGTTTCCTTCTTCCCTTTCTTGGATCGAGGAGGAGGAACTCTTTGAATCCCAGCTGCAAGCCTTTTCTGCCTAGCTTGCTCAAAGTAGGCTGCAGGATCAGGGGTCACTGTCAGAGCTCTGGAGCTTGGTCCTTCTGCTTCTCTGACCTTTTCCCTAGTATCTTCCCCCTTTTTGGCATCAACAAGATCACCAAGTAGGAGTCCAATCTTTGAGAATTCGGAGGCATGAGAATCCTTGATTTTATCCAGGGTCTCTGGTAGAGTTTGGGTCACAGAAGTTAGCCCTTCAATCAGTCCTTTTTGCTTGTCAATTGCAGATTGGATATTCTTAGTGTTTGCTTCCAGTAGGATAAGCTTCTGATATCTATCTTTGTCAGCTTGGATCAGCTTCAAGGCAAATTCCTTATTTGTCTTGCAGAGGTCCTCAACTCCTGTCAGTTGCTCTTGGGTCTTGTCATGAGTCCACTGTAGGTTATCAACAAATTCTTAAATCTCCTTGATGGCCTTGTCAGAGTAGCAACACTGGATGACAGCTTGACAATGTAGACATTGTGGTTGACATTGTAGACAAAAACTTACCAAAAACTCATAAGACCGTGGAAAGAAGGAGAGAGAAATGTCATAAAATCAATATTTTGTGTCTATCTCTCTCATGCCACATGTGCACAGTGCACATTGTAGCATTGGAGATGCTCTAAGAGAAAACAACGAAAAGCAAGATACGTAAGTGAAAAACAACGAAAAGAAAAGAGAAAACAAAAAAGGAGTATAGCCGCCGTCAGCTAAAAAGAAAGGAAAAGCAGTCGAAGAGTAGCGGGGAAAAGAAAAGAAGCAGCAGCCATCAACCTAACTTTTACCCTACAACTTGGATTTATTTACAAAAAAACTGGTTGTGCCATGCCCTAGGTAGAACCGGCTGTACAGTATATATTACCAATTGGAAGAGCCATTAACACAACATTCCTAATCTCGTCAAAAGGCTCACTATTGGTCAAATCAGTCAAAAACTAGCTGTTAACCGTGTAACCAAACACCCATATGTCTTTAATTTGTATGCTCCGAAATTCCATACGTCCGATAAGCAAAGGGTGCAGCCGGGGAGGCTATTATACACAAAAAGGACTCATTTTATGACTAAGCTTTAGTGCTAACTCATCCTTATTTTTTGTACTACGGGTATATGTTTTTTACGGAGTAATATATATATATATATACTCATCTTTATTCAAATAATAAAACGAATTGTCGTTGAAGATGTGTTTTGCTTCCTTTTAAACGAGTCAGAAGTTTTTTTTGAAAAATTAAACGAGTCAGAAGTTGAATACTCCGTATGATTATTATGTTGACAAACAGTTAGATACTCGGATTAATATACGAAGTACATGTTACCTATTATATGAACTTCGTTTTTGCGTAACAAATTAACAATGTCGTATATATAAGGTACGAAGTACTCCGCATATCATTTAGGAAGAACTACATACTTGTGATTGGACCCGTTTTCAGATAGAGTCAAGTGTTTTATTCTTTATCAAAGTGGTTCATGTGTTTATAGGGACAGAGCCAAATGTTAGGTTATGGTGTCAAATGACACCACTCAAATTATATATTTATTGTATATAATGTATACATAAATTGAAAGTTTTAAAAATGACACCACTCAAACTATATATTTATTGTATATATAGATTGAAAGTGTTAAAAATGACACCACAATGTAATATACTCCCCTATCTCACAAGTTTTTTGATGTAGGATTGAAAGAATAATATTGATGATATTTAATAAGAAACTGAAACAATAATATAATACTCCTAATTTAAAATTAACATTATTTTTACTCTCACTTAGGGTAAGAGTAGCAATCCTGTCAGACCAACCGAGGTAATTTGGGGTTCTTTATTGTGGATTTTTTTTTTGAGAATGTTCTTCCTCAAGTCTGCTTTTTGTCAATCAAATTGCAGTTTAAAGTTCAAACGGGAAGGCAATCAAGTAAATTCTTTACAAAAACTATGTTACGTTGTTTATATATAAAAAGCGCAATTTTTGTAAAGAATTTATTTAACTGTTTTCCCGGTTGAAATTTTAGCTGAAATTTGATGGGTATAAACTAGACTTAATGAAGAACATGCTTAAAATATCTGATTAAAAAATTCCATTGGAAAGGGCCCCAAATGGCCTCGGCTTGACGGACGTTCCCGTTAGGCCAACCAAATATGATCTGAGCTCCTTACGGTAATTTTCTTTGGTATATTATTTTGACACCACTGACATTACATCCTGGCTCCGTCCCTGTGTGTTTGGGTTCCGTTATCACAAGAGGGTCACGCAGTTAAAAATGTGTGAAAATGACCGTTAAAAGTAACTCCAATATTCAAAAGTGCCTGGAAAATTAAAAGAGAAATCCCGAAAGGCGTTCCTCGTCAAGATGACCTCCAAACCATCTTCGCCTTTGGATTTTTTAGATTTGTTTGAATTATTTTTTAAAATGATTTCGCTAATATCAGTTTTCCTGTGGACTTTCCCGTGATAAGGGTGGCTGAAAACAAAAAAAAAAGATGGCCTAGCGGTTGTCTTATTGAGGCGCACCTTCCGGTATTTTTATTTTAATTTTTCGGGCACTTTTGAAAATCGGGGTTATTTTTAACAATCTTTTTCAGACGTTTTTAACGGCGTGACCCTCTTGTGATAACGGAATTTAAACACATGAACCACTTTGATAAAGAATGAAACACATGATCCTATCTGAAATCGAGTTCAACCACAAGTACTTTTTCCGTATTTTTCCCTATCATTTATCACATAAAGCGCATTTTAGATATTTTTCATATAGCTTCACAAATTCACAACAGTTATTACAAGTACGTACACGTAGGATAACTTCTCCTTATATTGGAATCAGAATGAATTTTAACCGCAAGTACAATGGCGGAGTTAGGAATGACAGGTTAATAGGGCGATGCTTAAGAAATTTATATGGCAGGAATCAAAACTTAAATTTTTACTATATTTTTTACTATCTATAAATATTTATACAGAAGTATCTACATTGTTTCTTGTTGGGGCCTCACATATAATTATTGACTACTATGGGTTACGAATTTGATAACTCTAAACTACCTTACTAAACGATGTGCCATACAAACAAAAAATTAAACAACCCAAAATATTACGGAGTAAAGTATTTTACTTTCTCAAAATATGGTCTTCAATGGATTTCAACTCCGATTAAAAGGTACGATAAAACATAAAAAAGAAACTCCGATTAACAGGTGTGCGTCGTTTCCTTTAATTTCTTCTTCTCTTCCTCATATGTTCTCATTCAGTCATTCATTATTTTCCCCTTTTTGACGATTTGATTTTTTATTTTCTTCCTTTTTTAAATTTTTAGTGCTCTGTCATTTTTTTAACATTCTTAATAAGTTACTTTCGAAAATACGATAGAATGGTTTTCGATTTGAAAACTATTTTCTCTTTTTGTCATTTCATTATCATTTTTCACATTTCAATCTGCAATCCCCATAATTTAATTTGAAAATGTCACAATTTTTGAACTGGAATTTCATTATTATCTTAACATGTGTACATAGTATGTCATTATGAATTTATGAAGAGAAGAAGCGGTCTAGCCCAGATGGTCCTCAAAAATGCTAAAGGTACTCCAATTTGTACCTCAATTTGTACCTCACCCTATTTTTGTGGCTCACAAAAGCAACTCATTAAAATGGAGCAATTTATTTATTGAAGTGGACTTTTGTGAGTCACACAAATAGGTTGGGGTACAAATTAGGGTACAAAATGGGGTACCTATAGCCAGATGACCTTTTCATGATACGGAGTACATTTTAAATTGCAGCTTATTTGACTACTTCTCTGCTTTTACTTTTATGACACAATTAATTTTTATTTTTACATTTTTGCATCATTTTACTTTGACTCTAAAACGAATATTGGTTGGCCCTTTAGCCCAAAGCTCAGGAGCAATGTAGGCCATGACACGAATTGGCTACTCGATCAGGACCGACCCAAGATCCCATGTTCCTAATGGTGCCGTTTGATCGGCCCATTGATTCGCAACCAGGCCCGTATAGAAATAGTTACGTAGTGCACATGTGTTCTAAATACCTACCACCTCCGTCCAATAATATGGGGATGAAAGAAAATGACACGGTTATTAAGAAAAGTATGTTTATGTGATTGTTACCAATTGATAAAGTAAGAATAAAATAAGAATGATTTAGAGTCACACAAAATTTACCAAATTTGGTACTACTATGATACAATGTTAATGGGATTATTCGAAAAAGTAAAATTGGACAATATTAACGGGAAGGAGGGAGTCTATAATAATAATAATATAAAGTAACAAAGTGTGACACCTTGCTTTTCCCTCCAATTAGACATTTAATCCTTCATATCTATTAAAAATAAGAGTTACATGAATATTGGAATAATCTATCTATAATAATATAAAGTAACAAGTTAATGACACCTTGTTTTTCTCTCCAATTAGACATTTAATGCATCATACCTATTAAAAAATAACAGTTACATGAATATCTATAATAATATAAAGTAACAAGGTGTGACATCTTGCTTTTCCCTCCAATTAGACATTTAATGCTTCATACCCATTAAAAATAAGAGTTACATGAATATCTATAATAATATAAAGTAACAAGGTATGAGACCTTGTATTAATTAAATTTTATAAAGACTGGAGATGTAGAGTAAATAAATAATAATGATTACTAGATTTGGATTTGGGATCCTACCAAGAGAAAGAGAAACAGAAACATAAACTAGGCAGGCTAACATATTGCTGATGAAATAGATAGATTAGCCTTTAGTTTCTTGAGAACGTAATTTCGTATTTGAGGAAATAGAATTGTAAAACTTGGACAACCAGCCAGTTTGTTCTACGAAATTGACGTTTAATTTGAAGAGTCCGCAGCTTTTATGGAGTAGCACCACCAAGCAAACCCCGCGGCGAAGAGGCAAAAAGCAATTCCAAAACCGATTGGAACTAATCGAAACACTACACATAACCCTCCTGCGATGGTTAGCAGCCTACACACCTCACAAAAATGTAAACATAAGATTTATTTCGTTCCATCAAATGAAGTAAAAACAACCATACTTACATTCCCAAACCAAATCAAGAGTGAGTAAAGTGTATATCAGTATAGAGCTATATAAACTTGTTAAATTATTTGTCCCGCATCAGAAAACTACGTAGTATTAAACAATAAAATAGTAACCCCTATTCCTGTTTCTTCTCCCCTTTTGACCTGGAACATGATTAAGATAGTGAGTTTGGTGTGGTGGAGAGTTGTGCAGAGCCGCAGAGGAGAGAGAAATGTGTAAGAATTGTTGTGAATCACAAATTCTTTGACAAAAAAGGAAAGAGGAATAATTTTGATTGGACGAAAAAGAAAAGTTTGAAGATAATTCAGAGACGGAGGGAGTATATAAGTGCATAAAATACTACTCCATATATAAGACTTTGAACATCCCTTCTATTATATATTTTACTATTACATTTTTTTAGGATAATCTCGGTCTTAACATCGTCTTAACACGATATTTTCTAGCCTGATTCAGACGGAGGGAAACCCAGGTCTTAACAGAACTTATATACTACTCCCTATTTGATCCTACATTGCTACTGGTATTTAAATATAAAATGCTTAACTAATCATGGTGTGTGTGTGTCATGCTTGCATATATATATATATATATATATATATATATATATATATATATATATATATATATATATATATATAGAGTCCCGTTCCTATCAGGAGCTCCTGAAGAGAAGCTCCGTGCGGACAAGACCATCAGAGGGTCTTCCCGGTGTAATTTTTTGATCAAATTTTTTGAGCATGTTCCTCATCAAGTCTAGTTTGTCCATACCAAATTTCAGCTCAAAATTCCATCGGGAAGGCAGTCAAATAAATCCTGGAAACATACTGCACATTATATGTGCGCAGAATGCACCATATTTTTCCAGGATTTATTTGACTGCCTTCCCGATGGAATTTTGAACTGAAATTTGGTATGGACAAACTAGACTTGATGAGGAACATGCTCAAAAAATTTCATCAAAAAATCCCACCGGGAAGACCCTCTGATGGTCTTGTCCGCACGGGGGTTCTCATCAGGAACTCCTGATGTGAACTGCCCTCTATATATATATATATACACATATACATACATATATATAGACACACACACACATATGTATATATATATAGACACACACACATATACACACATATACTCCCTCCGTCCCCAATTAAATGTCCCATTTTACTATATTGGGATGTCCCTATTTAAATGTCTCATACCTCTTTTGGTAAAGTTTGTGTGGCTCAAAATAATTCTTACTTTATTCTTACTTTATTCCTACTTTATCAATTAATATCAACCACACAAACCCACTTTTCTTAAAATTCGTGCCACCCTCTTCCGGGACTTTTAAAAGGGGACGGAGGGAGTACATACTATATGTGTGTGTGTATACGTGCCAAGCCCCTTCCATGGTTTAGGGACGCAATGACACACACATACCATGATTAGTTACTACAATATATAGTCATATTTGTGAAAATAAATTTTATTTTAGTAATATTTTGAAAAAACTCTAATTATTGTACGTAATGTATCCAAAATTTTATTTAATTAGCATATAATCTAATTACATTTTTCACATCCATAACACAAATTGCTTTCCTTTTTATATATTTTTATACATTGTCGCCTTAATTTATTTATAATCACATAAATCTTCCATCCTTATTTGATTCGTTTTTTTATGCACATAATTTTAATAAATGAGAAATTTACTTGTTAATATGTTTTCGAAAATATGAAATTATATCAATCAAAAAACATTGCAATGTTGGTTAGATATTAAACATGCCTCATAAATAATTATTTAGTTTGATTTGTTTGTAAAAGTCAAAGCACAAATGAAAATTGTATGACAGTTTATTAAAAATATTTACCTATAAAACTAGCTGGAATGCATTAGCTAAATATAAATATTACATTCACTAATATAGGAGGATGATGAACAATATAATATTATTCTGGTTTACACTTGAAGCAGAAAAACATATTACTTCAGTCCTGTCAAACATTGCCAACTTTGTATTGATTGTTAAATAAAAATATTTAAAAGTGTATGATTTAGGTTTATGGACAAGAGAAAGGAGAAATGAAATAAATAATAAGTTGATTACTTAAAAAAAAAAGCCCAAAAATTTTAGCATAAGAAAAAAGTTGGGAAAGTCCACTCTGGAAGTATATATTTTTATACCATGTGATCCAATAAAGCCACCCATGGACCGAACATCGCAAAATGCGGTTTTTGCGGCCAGTTTGACATCCAAAAAAGCCAAGAGCTATAACAGCACAAACAATGCCAATTCCTGCTATAACCTGTGTTGCGGTGTCTACCTGCAGATATCACAACCTTTAGAGCAAATTATTTATGTATTTTCGGAAATACTCCTAACATTATTATCTTTGTTACCTTGGACGACATTGCAGTCACATGTAACAAAGGAGAGTCGCGCAAAGGAGAAAGAAACATCAAATAACAAAGTTTTTGAGACAAAGGAAAAAAAGAAAACTGGCAAAATAGTCTAATAGAACTGTAGAGACTAGAGAGAGTATTTTTTTCCTGGCATGTATGCATACGACATATCTGAGGGCTCTTCTCATCAGGCCGGCCTGACGGGCTGCCCCGTCCGGCCGAGCCCGTTTGGGCACCTTCCCTGTGGAATTTTTTGATGAAATTTTTTGAGTATGTTCCTCATCAAGTCTAGTTTGTCCATACCAAATTTCAGCTCAAAATTCGATCGGGAAGGTCGTCAAATGATTTTTGCAAGTTAACTGGTCCGGAATACACATATTCCGGACCAGTTAACTTGCAAAAATCATTTGATGACCTTCCCGATCGAAGTTTGAGCTGAAATTTGGTATGGACAAACTAGACTTGATGAGGAACATCAGAACATGCTCAAAAAATTTCATCAAAAAATTCTACCGGGAAGGTGCCCAAACGGGCTCGGCCGGACAGGGCAGCCCAGCCAGAAGTGAATGTTGAGGTGGGCAGTACAAAAAAATCATATAAATTTTTACACATAAATTTCTACTCCCTCCGTTCTTTAATAAAAGTCCTTCTTTCCTTTTTGGGACGTTTTTTTTTGTCCTCCTTTCCATTTAAGGAAAGTTTTTACTTTAAATATACCTTTATACCCCCACTTTTATTATCATTACCCCTTTCTTTTTCCTACTTTTTCATTACCCACTACTCATTACACCTTTTACACTACCCCTACTATTTTCCTCTTAAAACCCGTGCCAAAGCCTAAGAGGACAGATAATAAAGAATGGAGGGAGTATATTAAAAGATTTTATATTTTGAGAATTTGGTCCTACTCAGGAATTCTGCTCTAGCTACACATGACCTACCTAGCTAGTATTCCATATGACCCTTGTAATTTTTTCAAAGTTTGATTGGCATATAGTATGAAATAATAAATTAAAATTTTGTGATTAAAGTTTGTGGAGAAAAGAGATAAACTAAAAGAATCACAACATACATGAATAAAAAGCAAAGGCCTTTTTATTCCAATATTACTAAAATGAATGGAAAAGACAAAAATGTGAATTGTTTTAAACTTTTCCGAAAATGTGACTAAAACAGTAAAACTCATTCATTCCTTGTATTTAATCATACATTTATTATTTTAATATTTCTTTTGTATACTTGATTACTAGTCCATATTTTCCATCGGCAATGCCGCCACCGCGGCACCGCCACAGTGACTACGGTCACTATCTCAATGACTCCGGTCAAAGTGACTCCGGCCGCCACAGTGACTCCGATCACAGTGATTCCGGCCGCCACAGTGACTAAAGTGCATATTAAGGTTATATGATGTGTAGTCACAGTGAATCTGGTCACAGTGACTCCGGTCATAGTGCATATTAAGGTTATATGATGTGCATATTAATTCCGGCTACTGACTGCTGCTACCTCGAGGCCCATGACAGCCTCTGCCTCCGGCAGTGACTGCCGTCACCTCCGGGCAGTGACTGCCGCCGCCGCTCCCTTCCAGTGACTGCCGTCGCACCCTCAGCCAATGATTGCTTTCACCGCCCGCCCTATCAATGACTGCCTCCGCCCACCACTACCATTGAACCACCTCCGCCCCAATCACTCCGACCGGCCACCGCACCCCAACCCAAGCCCCAACCTTGCACAATCGCCGTCCAAGAATCTGACCCAGCCTCCCACCCCTGCAATTGAACCACCTCCACCCCCAGCGTCTGGCAGGCCATCGCACCCCAGCCCCACCCCAAGTCCCACCGTACCCCAGCCCTGAGCAATCGCTACACAAGACCCTACCCCTGCCTCCCGCCCCCACTGCGACCACTCCGGCCGGCCAGCGCACCCCAGCCCCCTCACTCACAACCCGTCTCCCTCCCCTGCCACTGAACCACCTCTGCCCCGGCCCTTTGCCTAGGCAAAACTTAGCCACACCTTTGTTACGAATGGAAATTGTAATCCACGTAGAATTTTATACTTAGCCATTTAATACAGATGTAAAGTTTGTTGAGAATAGTTAGACCGGTGGGTCTGGTTAGTTAGAAGATTAACTAACTGGCCGGAATAGCATTGTATAAAAATAAATCCAGTTGTATTGTTGAAGGTAGCTCGAATAATAAACTTCATCTTCTTCCTTATGAATTCTCTATTCTGTCATCTTGATTGTTCGAATTCTATTCCCTCTTTAGAATTCCTACGCACTGTTCGCTAGTTCATCGATTCCTTATCCTTGAGCTTAGCAATTGGTATCAGAGCTTGATTACCTTCCGCTATTGAAGACGATAACACTCTGGCGAAGAAACTTACTGTAGCTGCCCTATCAATAATCATGGAGGATAAAGTGGCAGATCTGGAACGGCAAATTGAGGAACAGAATCGTAGAACCGAGCTCAAATTTTCTGAAACACAACACAAATTGGATGCCATGCTCCTCTTGCTACAAAAGAAGTTCGAAGAGGAGAATATTCACTCTAATCACTCAATTCATTCAAATCAATCTCATTCTGTGCATGAGAACGTTGGATTTCAGCCTAGCTCTGGTAATCAGTCTAAACTTCTTGGATTCTCCCACAAAATTGAGTTTCCAGTATTCAATGGAACTTGCCCTAGAAGTTGGATACAAAAGTGTGCAAGATATTTTGACTTGTGTAAGGTGGAACATAATCAGAAAGTAGACCTAGCTTCATTGTACCTAACTGGCAGAGCAGAAGCGTGGTTTAATGGATATGTGTCTGTTCATAAAAATATTGTGTGGGAACAGTTTGTTCTGGATATCTGTGCTAGGTTTAATGAAGAATTGGGTGGATCAGTAGTAGAAGAATTCAATAAACTACAACAATCTACTTCATTGGATGAGTACATTGATAAATTTGAAAGTTTAAAAGGGCTAATGTTACAGAGAAATAATGCGCTACCTGATGAATTCTTCTTGGATAGTTTTATAGGAGGTCTCAACCCCACTATAAAACATTTTGTAAAGGCTTTCAAGCCCAGAACATTACTACAAGCAATGGAGTATGCTCGGCTGCAAGAAAACAATCTTGAAGCTCTCAAGAAAGTGGGCAGATTCCAAACTGACAGGCCCTTTATTAAAAATGGGGAGTTCCAGAATAGATTTGGGTATAGATCAGTCCCTGAGAATCAAAATAACCCAACCAAACTCCCCGGATTGCTGCCTAAACCTGTGCCTTCAACTACCTCAGTCAAAAGAAATGTGGAATTCAAAAAGAAGCCTTTATCTGCCTTAGATATTGAAGAAAGAAGAAGAAGGAATTTATGTTTCCATTGTGATGAAACATACTTTCCAGGTCACCACTGTAAGGCACAGATATATAAGATTCAGATTCTACCCATATTGGAGGAAGAAAATGAAGAGCCAATGGGAGAAAATGAAGAATTTCAGTGGATTGAAAATTCAGACCCCAACTATAATAACTATCAAGAGGAGCTAGAAGAACAACCCTTGATTTCCTTAAATGCATTGGCAGGTCATCAAAGTTTCCATACCATGAGAGTAGTTGGTAAGGTGAAGAATAAGGATTTGCACATCCTTATTGATTCTGGAAGTACTCATAACTTCCTTGACTTGCAAACTGCTAAGAAATTAGGATGCAGGATTTCTAAATCCTACCCTTTGGAAGTATCTGTGGCTAATGGTGAGAAGATCACCACAAATCAAACCTGCCAACAGTTCAAATGGAATCTTCATGGGCTGGAATTCATGGCTGACACCATGTTAGTGCCATTAGGAAGCTGTGAAATGGTCCTAGGCATTCAATGGTTAGTTTCTTTGGGGCAAATAATTTGGAATTTCCAAGATCTCAGTATGGAATTTAAGTATAGGGGTAGAAGAGTGGTACTGAGAGGAAGCAAAAAAAGTAATATGTGCTGGATTACTGGAACTCAAGGAAGAAGGGAGTTACACAAGCAGAATCAAGAATGGTGTGGGCAGTTGTTGATGATTCAAGTACAGAATAAGAAGGATGTGTCCCCGAATTCAGTCTGCTGTAATAAGGAGCTAGATAAGTTGCTTAATTCCTATGCTGACGTTTTTGTAGAACCAAAGCAGTTACCCCCACACAGGGAGCATGACCATCAAATTCATCTAAAATCAGGTACCTCTCCTATTAATGTCAGACCGTACAGATACCCTGTGATACAGAAGGATGCAATAGAAGAAATTACACAGGAAATGCTATAGAATGGAATTATAAGACACAGCCAGAGTCCCTTCTCAGCACCTGTAGTCATGATAAAGAAAAAAGACGGGGGGTGGAGATTCTGTGTTGATTATAGGGAATTAAATAAACAGACTATAAAGGACAAATTCCCTATACCCATCATTGATGAGCTATTAGATGAACTTCATGGGTCCAGCATATATTCAAAAATAGATCTCAGATCTGGATATTGGCAGATAAGGATGAAGGAAGAAGATATAGAAAAGACAGCTTTTCGCACTCATGTTGGGCATTTTGAATTTTTAGTTATGTCTTTTGGACTAACTAACGCGCCTTCCACTTTTCTAAGTTTGATGAACAGTATATTCAAGCCATACTTAAGAAAATTCATACTGGTTTTCTTCGATGACATCCTCATTTACAGCTCTAATTGGGAAGATCACCTCAAACACTTAAAACTGGCTTTGGAAGTACTCAGAAGAAATGTTTTGTTTGCTAAGAAGAGCAAATGCTCCTTTGGGGTAAAAGAAATAGAGTATTTGGGTCATATAATATCTGAAAAAGGAGTAGCTACTGATCCTAAGAAAATTGAGGCCATGGAAACCTGGCCAAACCCCAGAAATCTAAAAGGACTAAGAGGCTTTTTGGGCCTAACTGGA